CATGAGGGCCCAGAACTGCCCTCAGGATTGGAAATGGGGCCAGCCATGGGTTTGGAAGGAGTGTCAGGGCCTGGCAGTCCCCTGTGGTTGGGGTGACACCTGGGCAGGTGTGACCCGGTGGGAATGGTGGAGTGAATGTGTTTCTCCTGGGCAGCTGGAAGTTTAGATATGTGGGAGCAGAGGGGGGGAATTTTGATCTGTAGAAACAGTCCTTGGGTTACTTCTTCCAGGAACTCCCCCCCAGGTCTGTAGGGGCTGCAGGGAGGGGGCAGAGGATGGATCAGGCTCTGCTGGGGGGGCCCAGCAATGGCACAGGAGGAACGGGCAGGAACTGATGCCCAGGAAGTTACACCTGGACAGGAGGAAGAACTTCTTGGCTGGGCAGTGAACAGATTGTCCAGCCCTGAACAGACTGTCCAGAGGGGGTGGAGTCTCCTCCCTGGGGATGTTCCAGACCCATCCTGTGCCATGTGCTCTGGGATGGCCCTGCTGGAGCAGATGACCCTCTGGGGGCCCCTCCAACCTGACCCATCCTGGGATTCTGTACCTTTTGGAGAACTCCTGGCTGACTGAAGTGAACCCAGTTCCCTGACAGAGTTCACCAAGTTCACTGAGGGTGAAACCAGTTGAGAGGGCTCTGGTTTGACTCTGGAGGCAGAGCTGGAATTACCAACCAGGGCTTTTGTGCTCTTGGGAGCTCTTCCTGCTCTCCAGCACGAACATCCTGCCACCAGCTTCCAGTTTCTCCCCTTCTCTCTCCCCCAGCTTTGCCTCCCCACATCTGTGGTGCTGGAATTCGTGCTGGCTCTTCAGGAAAAAATGTTGTGGCTCGTGGGTTGGGAGCCAGGCAAGGCCATTTCCTACGTCCTCAGCTGGTCTGGCTCTGAGGCAAACCAAGGAACCTGTGTCTGTGGGTATTTGGGTTAGGAGAGGCCTATTTATAGTTGGGTTGATGGCTTTAGGCAAGCTCTGATAAACCAGGGCATTTTTTGGAGAGGGGGGATGAGAGGGATTACAGCGACGAGCTTTCAAACCCAACAATTAGTTCGTGTTTTCGAAGTGGGGAAGGTTGCAAAAATGTGTAATATTTTGCAGTCCCGGATGGAAAAATCTGTGGCTTTCTTTTTCTTGTTCTTTTTGTTTGCTTTTGTGTGTTTTAAATACACGGGGTTTGAATCTTAGGCTTCGTTGTGCTTGGAAACTGCACAGCATGTTGGATTTGGAGCCACTCAGGGAATGTGCTGATCTGAGGGGATGGGAAAAGGAGACAAAAAAGCTCGTGTGTCATTTGGGCTTTGAGGGATGTAGAGGAGTGAGGTTACCCAGTAATATTTAATTTAAATCTGCAGGGTGGTTAAGGGGGGTTTGTCGTGGGGGACCTCATGGATCTCTCCAGCTCCCTGACAGGAGGTTGTGAGGGGGGGTCGGGCTCTTCTGCCACATCCCAAGGGAAAGGATGAGAGGAAATAACCTTAAATTGCACCAGGGCAGGTCCAAATTAGATATTAGAAAAAATACTTTCAGTGGAAGAGTGGTCAGGCCTTGGAATAAGTGTCCCAGGGAGGTGGTGGAGTCCTTGTCTCTGTGAGTGTTCCAGAGGTGTCTGGATGTGGCCCTTGGGGACATGGATTAGGGGTGATCCTGGTGGTGCTGGGGTGGGACTGGATGATCCTGAAGGTCTCTCCCAGCCTTCAGGATTCTGTGGTTTACACTCAGGAACCCAACTTTGAGTCATCTTATGCACGGGGTGACTGAAGACTCACACGAGTTTTCTCCTGACTGAGAAGAGATGGTGATGTTGGTCTGATCTAAGAAAATCTGAATACAGCTGCAAATCAGCTCCTTCATTCCTTTTTCATTCCCAGCTGGTGCCACCTTGCAGGCCAGGTAGACCTGGGGTTGTGTCCTGCTGTAAAATGTTGCCAGGAGAGCAGGATCAGGCTGTACCTTCTGGTTGGCTTTGCTTGGACTCTCGTTTGTCTTCTGTTCTCTGTAGGAGACCTGTTTCTGAGGTCCTGGAGCAGGTCCAGAGGAGAGCAACGAGGCTGGGGAAGGGACTGGAGCACAAGTGCTGTGAGGAGAGGCTGAGGGAGCTGGGGGGGGCTCAGCCTGGAGAAGAGGAGGCTCAGGGG